CCTGTAATCCCAGCTACTCAGGAGGCTGAGGCAGGAGAATTGCCTGAACCCAGGAGGCGGAAGTTGCAGTGAGCCGAGATCGCGCCATTGCACTCCAGCCTGGGTAACATGAGTGAAACTCCATCTCAAAAAAATAAAAATAAATAAATAAATAAAAAATAAAATAAAATAAAATGGGGTTTCACCATGTTGGCCACGTTGGTCTCGAACTCCTGACCTCAGGTGATCCACCCGTCTTGGCCTTCCAAATTCCTGGGACTAGAGGCGTGAACCACCACAGCTGGCCCACTCTGCCTTTTCAAAACCACGCCTGCACAGGTGGTGAAGACTGCACAACTATGTGAGTGTACTTAATGCCACTAAACTGTACACTGAAAAACTGTTACAACAGTAAGTTTTATATGCATTTTATTATACATTTTAGGCCAGGTGCGGTGGTTCACACCTGTAATTCCAGCACTTTGGGACGCTGAGGTGGGTGGATCACAAGGTCAGGAGTTCAAGACCAGTCTTGCCAAGATGGTGAAACCCTGTCTCTACTAAAAATACAAAAACCAGCTGAGCGTGGTGGCGGGCGCCTGTAATTCCAGCTACTCAGGAGGCTGAGGCAGGGAACTGCTTGAACCCAGGAGGCAGAGGTTGCAGTGAGCCAAGATTGCACCACTGCACTCCAACCTAGGGGACAGAGTGAGGCTGTCTCAAAAAAAAAAAAAAAAAAAAAAAAAACACTCACCCCTCCAGATGTGGGAATAAGCAGGAGGCCCTTCTACAGCCCTGGCTACAGGCTGCCACACCATCCTCCAAAAGATGCTGCCCAAGATGGGGGTCCTCAGCCTGCGTCAGCCCAGCACCTGCCTGTCACGAGGGCTGCACAACTGGGGTGGGAAATGGCCTCGGCCCCTGTCCGCATCCTCCTCTTCTCCCTGCAGGACTACCCTTAACCTACTCAGGGCTTCAGCCAAGGCCCATACGCTCCCCAAACCCAAGGGGACCCCGTGCAGGAGGCAAAGGTGGCACCATGCACCACCCCTGTCCAGCTAGTTTGGCATCGATAGCACCTACCAAGCAGAGATATTTATCTTTAAAAAAAAAAAAAAACCACTGCCAGCCACGGTGACTGACACCTGTAATCCTAGTGCTTTAGGAGGCCAAGGTGGGAGGATCAGTTGAGCCCAGGAGTTCTCAAAAACAGCCTGAGCACTGAGCATGGTGGCACGTGCCTGTAGTCCCAGCTACTCGGAATGATGAGGTGGGAAGATCGCTTGAGCCCAGGAATTCTGGACTGTAGTGTGCTCTGCCGACTGGGTGTCCACACTATGTTTGGCATCAATATGGTGACCTCTCAGGAACAGGAGACCACAAAGTTGCATAAGGAGGGGTGTACGGCCCAGAGTGGAAACAAAGCAGGTCAAAACTCCTCTGCTGATCAGTAGTGGGATCGCACCTGTGAACAGCCACTGCACTCCAGCTTGGGCAACATAGCAAGACCCCATCTCTTAAAAAAAAAAAAAAAAAAAAAAATATATATATATATAGAACGCCAACAAAAAAGAATAGCCTGAGCAACACAGTGAGACACTGTGAGCAACACTGTCTCTACAAAAAATAAAAACTTAGCCAAATGTGGTAGTGCACACCTAAGTCCCAGGCACCTGGGAGGCTAAGCGGGAGAAACACTTGAGCCCAGGAGTCTGCAGGGAGCCCTGACGGTGCCACTGCAACCCAGCATGGATGACAAAGTCTCAAAAAAATAATTTTAAATCACCAAATGTTCTGGAGAGGTCCCTTCTCTTCTGTTCTCATCCAGCCTGGGTTGCAGGCCAAAATGAAGCTCCGTGGGTGGAGCAAAGGCCTGCTCCACGTGCCACCACAGACTCCTTCACATGGGAGGGATGCATTTCCAGACCCACACACCTCCCGCTAGCCATCTTGAGCGAGATATACTGGTACTGCTGTGGAGAGGAAGGACTCGCTGTATCGGATGGAGAGTGAAACGTGGGTCCCCTACAGCAGACTCTGACAGCAGTAAGGGAGGGAGGGAGGAAGAGCTGCCGTGGTATCAGCAGAAAGGGGTATGAAGTTCAGTGTGGTCAGCGCCACCTGGCACATGTGCAAAGAGCCCACCTGACTGTCCCCGCACAGCAGGGAGGCAGGGGCACCTCTCCCTGCACAGATTGTGCCCTGGATGGCTGCACCAGCATGAGGCTACCAGGGAAGGCCCAGGACACTGATGCTGCATCCCAGGGGGCCTGTCCTTCAACTGTAATCAGCAGTTACAGGGCACAGGATGTGGGTACTGAAGGCCAGGGGCACAGCACCTTTTTTGTAAACCCCACTCCCTGACAAGAAAAGCAAAGCAAAAAACAACTGTCTACACCCACAAGTGTCTACGTGGAAAAGGATCCAAAGAATTCACAGTGCTAATGGGCCTGAGGGTGGGACTGTCTGCTTACGCCCCAGGAAAACCTGGGATGCAAACACTCAGCCAGGCAGCCACAGCCATGACCACAATGTAGGCTTGGGAACAGGGAGCCAGACCCAGCCACTCCCTCCAAGACTAGGAGGGAAGCACACAGGCTGAATGAGTACCCTCAGTGCCAAGTGCAGGATGGGGCCTGCAAAGCATGGCACTAATCCCAAGTGACTCCTGCACAGGGCAGCCCCTTCCACCCTCCTTTCCTTGGAGACAGCTGACAGGCTGGCAGAGCAGCCCACCTACCCGTATGTCCCCCGGAAAGGACAGCCTGTGGCAGGAGAGCCCAGGGCAGGGCCACCAGCTACATCGTGAAAAGACCCAGACCATGGTGCCCGTGTGTGCCCACTGAGCCCATCAGCTCAAGGGTGGCACCTGTACTTCTGCAGAGAGAAAGCGGATGAGGGTGACTATATGTTAACAATGTGACTCCCAGGAATCCCCTCCAAAAAATCTCCCAGATAGTGAAAAGGGGAAGGAGTTCCCATTACCTACACATTAGTTAGTACGTATCCTTTGCAGAAGGGCTTCATTTTTGTTGTTTTGTTTTTTGAGGCAGTCTTGCTCTGTCGCCTAGGCGGGATGCGATCTTACCTCACGGCAACCTCTGCCTCCCGGGTTCACGCGATTCTCCTGTCTCAGCCTCCCTAGTAGCTGTGATTACAGATGTGTACCACCACGCCAGGCTAATTTTTTATTCTCAGTAGAGACAAAGTTTCACCATGTTGGCCAGGCTGGTTTCAAACTCCTGACCTCGAGTGATCCACCTGTCTAGCCCTCCAAAGGGTTGGGATTACCGGCATGAGCTGCCATGCCTAGCCCTTCATTTTGGTCTTAAAGTTCCTGCCCGATGTAGAGCAGTGGAAAGAACTGAGAAGTGGGCAACATCATCAGCCCACATGGAACATGAGTCAAACCCCACCTTTTTTTTTTTTTTTTTTGAGACAGGGCCTTCCTCTGTCACCCAGGCTGGAGTGCAGTGGCACAATCAAGGTTCACCTCAGCCTCAAAAATCCTCCTGCCTCAGCCTTCTGAGTAGTAGCTGGGACTACTGGCGTGCCCCACCATTCCCAGCCACATGGGCATTTTTTTGTGCTAAGTAACTTCAAAACAGGAAGTCCAGTGTAACTCACCTGAGTCCCAAGTTAAGGATGTGGCAACAGCTGACCACACAAGACAGCTTTTCCTAAACGAATACAGAATAGAGCCCCTCTCTCCTCCCCATTGGAGATGGACAGCTCAGCCACTCAGAAGGGTGCGTGGGACCCAGCAAACAAACAGCCATGTACATCTGGGTCCCGTCGGTCAGGTGCCGAGGACAGGAAGTGCCCTGGCATCTACTGGGTGCCAGAAGACAAGACGTGGTCCCCAAGTAAGTCCTGCTGCCTGTGAGGTACTGGTGGCACTGGCACAGGGTCACGGTGAAGAGCTCCAGGCAGAGGACAGCACAGACCCCAGCGCAGCCTCAGGAGGCAGTCGTCGTATTTATTTATTCCTACTCAACATGACCCCAAAACACAGGAGCAACTCTGTACAATTCTAGAAACTCACAGCTAGCTCCAAAACAATAGAAATTTTAAACTACAAAAGATGAGTTATATTCAGCAAATATAAAGGGTAATTTTAGACTGTGCGAATGTTTATCAGACTATTTACAGCACCCGGAGACAGGTTCAGATCTCGCCGGCCTCCTTCTCTTCAGACCTTCGTGAAGCCATCTTCCCGTTGGAGCTCTCGAGCCTCCAGTCCGGGGGCCCCCGCTCACTCCGCCCGCTCTCCCAGGACGCCTCTCTGGATGCCCTTTCTCTGGAGAACCTGGGAAATGGGAACCACAGGCTCAGTGGAGGCTGCTGCCCCACTTCTGCTGGCTGCTCAGGTACTGACAGTGGACCCACAGACCAGGCCAGGGAAGGCCATGCACCCCCTATATCTGGAAGCCCCCGGGAGGCCAACCACACCTGCCCACCACATATGGAATGTTAGGTAGCCATTAAAAAGTGACCTTTGCAAAGAGTTTTAATAAGGAGAGCCTCCACTACAACATAAATGGAGGAAAGGAGAACACAACACTATGCTAAAACACACACACACACACACACACGTGTGCGCGCAGAAATACACACACACACACACACACACACACACACACACACACACACACACACGTACGTACGCGCGCAGAAAAAAATACCAAAAACAAAAATGAAAGCAGAGGTAAGCAGGGCTTGGTCAGGACATTAAGGCTCAGCCACTCTGTGTATGGGCGCAATGGTGCACAGGGCCCCAGGGTGCAGGCTGGGCACACACGTGCAGCTCCTGCGGCATCACCTGGTGCTGCGCGAGCTCCTCCACAGCCCTCTCGCCTCTTTCCAGACCTCAGAGTCCCGTTTGTGACTCCCCGGCCCTAGTCCTGGGTGCCAGCCCAGGCCCATCCCCACCAGACACGGCCCCCAGCAGACCCTGGGAACACAGAGAAGGGCTCACTCCTGGTTGCAGCTACCGAAGGAGTCAGAGTAGTTACTTGTATTTCGCACTCCGGTCCCGGGAAGCCCGACGATGTCCCCGGCTGTGGCTCCGGGAACGGCTGCGGTGGCGCCTGTGTCTATCTCGGGACCGGGACCGGGACAACTTCCGTCGCTCTCGGGAGGTAGATCTTGACCGCCTCCGACGCCGATCCCGGGAGCGTGACCTGAAAAATCAGAAGGTTCCGAGGCTGAGACTCCACAGGTGCCACCGCCACCACAGCCCCACCCCTCAGCAGATTCTGCTCTTGCTGCTTTGCTGACATTTCCCCCCTATTTCCCCAAATTTAACATATTTCTATCAGTTATCTCCAATGGCTAGACCCTTTCCAATGAGGCCTCCTGAAAACATCTGGCCTGGATACTCCTGTCACCCTGCAGGCCCCAACCTTCCCTCTCACCAACAGTGGGAACCCTCTGTTGTACCAAGCAACCCCTTGCCCTGTGCCCTCCACAAGCCAGCCCTCCTGCCAGACAACATTTGTAATGGCATAAACAGTAAATATTAAGAAAAAGGCGAATGGAAAAAGATATTTGACTGAGAACACTTTAATGGATCTGGAAACCTACCTCCTGCGATCTCTGGTTCTTGATCCTGACCTAAAAAGGGGGAAAAAAAGGTGAACAGGGCTGAGCGCAGGGTGGCTCACACCTGTAATCGCAGCACTTTCAGAGACCGAGGCGGGCCGATCGCCTGAGGTCAGGAGTTTGAGACCAGCCTGGCCAACATGATGAAATGCTATCTCTACTAAAAATATAAAAACTAGCCAGGCGGGGTGGTGAGCACCTGTAATCCCAGCTACTTGGGAGACTGAGGCAGAAGAATCACTTGAACCCGGGAAGCAGAGGTTGCTGTGAGCTGAGATGGTGCCACTGCACTCCAGCCTGGGCAACAAGAGTGAAACTTTATCTCAAAAAAAAAAAAAAAAAAAAAAAAAAAAAGATGAACTACTTCCCGAAAGCACCCCTATTCCTCACCATCTGCGGGGAGGGCTCCAAATCTAATCCAAGAAGTGAGACATTTCCCCAAAGACTTGCTGCTTTTGAGCTGCCTGCATGTTTCCAGTCTGAATGGACAGTGCCAATGTGGCCATCCCCACCGCCACTCTGTGGCACACTCAGTGGCACCTGAGTGTCACCGAGGGGACTACATCCGAGCATAAGACACAGCCTCATAACATCACAAGGGCCGTGGGAAATCGGTGCACACTGACAGTTAACAGTGCAGCACCCAAGTCCTACAAATGCTTCTCCAGTCTTGACAACAGACATCAGCACAGAATGTGCAGGCGCTGAGTGGGGCACACCAAAGACAGCAAAGTGAAAGCAAAGCCCTCAGTTCCAGACACAGGCTTCCTGCCAGGTGAGAGTCATGAGCTCATTCTGCCACACAACCAGAGTATGAAAAACGTAAGCTACAAGGCCTCATTCTATGCCCCTGCTAAGAATTAAGGTACAGTCATTAAGGTCAAGTGGCCCCATGTACACCCACAACATACATGACCTAAACATGATCATGCATGTAAAAATGTCCAACTCCATGCAAAAAAAGTGGGAGTCTGTTTTGCATAATATTTTTTCTATACTGTTTAAATCTCCTTACAATAAAAATCTCCTGCTGGATAATTAAAACAACAACAAATACAATAAACAACATTCGCCCTCTCTGAGTTACACACTGAGGAGCTCTTTCAGGGAAAGCGGTTTGGGAGCCTTCCTGGACAATAAGCTGTGTCCAAGAGGTTACTTCCAGCTCCCAGCTCTTCTTTCAACTCCAATCAGACTCAACACCCCCACCTCAAGACGGCCTCTCAAGCTGAGTGTGGCCAGAAGCACCTGCTACTTCCATCCTTCCTCTTCCCATTCCAATACACCATGCCCAGCCTTCCAAACTCACCAAGAAGCAACTCGGGGACACAAACCAGGACCAGCTTCACTTCCTCCTCTGCACACCTCACACGCTAACGGCAGATCCCATCAGTTCTAACCCAGAACTTTCCCAGACTCCTTCAGCCCCTTGCCTGGCTTCAACTGCCACCTCCTCCACAAAGGTTCTCCCGCCCAGCTCCCCAAGGCCCTGGTGCCCCCACTCCCGCACCAGCACTGTTCTCCACAAGGCGGCAGGTACCACCCCTCCTAAGGAGCCACCCAACAGCCCCAGAGCACCCAGTAAATCATCAGCAGTGCCACACGAAGCCTCCAAGAACTCAGAGCCTTTCCTGACTGCCATGCACACACCGTCCTGGGCTAGGCTGGGCTGTGTTTTGTTCTGTTGGACTGAATATGCCATGTGTTTACTTCTCCTTTGTTGTTGTTGTTGTTGTTTTTTGAGATGGAGTGTTGCTTTGTTGCCCAGGCTGGGGTACAGTGGCACCATCTCAGTACACTGCAACCTCTGCCTCTCAGGTTCAAGTGATTCTCCCACTTCAGTCTCCAGAGTAGCTGGGATTACAGGCACATGCCACCACGTCCAGCTAATTTTTGTATTTTTAGTAGAGACAGGGTTTCACCATGCTGGTCTCAATCCCTGATCTCAAGTAATCTGCCCACCTCGGCCTCCCAAAGTGCTGGGATTAGAGGCATGAACCAGCGGGCCTGGCCTCACTTCTTTCTCTTATAATGGCCTGTTGAGCAGGCCCAAACTATTCCAAGCAGCAGGGGACGCCCGAGGCCGGGGCAGCCCATCCAGTGCCAGCCCCGGGCTCACCTCCTGCTCAGACGCTCCTCTCGCTCCCTCTCCTCTCTCCTCCTCAAGCGATCCTGATTTCTCTTCTCCTGCTTTTCAGCGACAGTTTTCTAAATAAATGAAACAGAAAAATGGGGGAAGAGCAAGTTACACAAACCAGAGTGTGAATGCTACTTAACAAAGCACCTTTATATGAGCTCAGTATCGGTAATTTAAAAACTGAAGAGACATTTTTAGGAAATGGGAACACATTCATTTTTAATACTTCCTAATGAAGAAGATAATGCATGAAAAAATGGTTTATCATTACATTTTATTTACTTTTGTTTTGTTTTGAGACGGAGTCTTGCTCTGTCGCCAGGGTGGAGTACAGTGGCGCAATCTCGGCTCACTGCAATCTCCGCCTCCTGGATTCAAGCCATTCTTCTGCCTCAGCCTCTCAAGTAGCTGGGACCACAGGTGCATGCCACCATGCCCAGCTAATTTTGATATTTTTAGTAGAGATGGGGTTTCACCATGTTGGCCAGGATGGTCTCAATCTCTTCCCCTTGTGATCTGCCCACCTCAGCCTCCCAAAGTGCTGGGATTACAGGCGTGAGCCACCACACCCACCTTTTTTTTTTTTTTGAAGTCTTTCTGTCCACCCAGACTAGATGGAGTGCAGTGGTGTAATCACATTGTAGCCTCCACCTTCCAGGCTTAAGCAATCCTCTTTACCTCCACCTCCTGAGTAGCTGGTACTATTACAGGCGTGGGCCACCATGGCCAACTAATTTTTAAAAATTTTTAGGCCGGGCGCGGTGGCTCAAGCCTGTAATCCCAGCACTTTGGGAGGCCGAGGCGGGTGGATCACGAGGTCAAGAGATCGAGACCATCCTGGTCAACATGGTGAAACCTCATCTCTACTAAAAAAATACAAAGCATTAGCTGGGCATGGTGGCGCGTGCCTATAATCCCAGCTACTCAGGATGTTGAGGCAGGAGAATTGCCTGAACCCAGGAGGTAGAAGTTGCAGTGAGCCAAGATCGCGCCATTGCACTCCAGTCTGGGTAACAAGAGCGAAACTCCGTCTCAAAAAAAAAAAAAATTTTTTTAGGCTGGACACAGTGGCTCATGCCTATAATCCCAGCACTTTGGGAGTTCGAGGCGGGTGGATTACAAGGTACAGAGTTTGAGACCAGCCTGACTACCATAGTGAAACCCTGTCTCTACTAAAAAGACATAAAATTAGCCAGGCATGGTGGCACGCACCTGTAGTCCCAGCTACTTAGAAAGCTGAGGCAGGAGAATCGCTTGAACAGGGAGGGAGAGGTTGTAGTGAGCCGAGATCGCGCCACTGTATTCCACCTGGGGTGACAGAGCAAGACTCTGTCAAATTAAAAAAAAATTTATTTCCGGCCAGGCGCGGTGGCTCACGCCTGTAATCCCAGCACTTTGGGAGGCCGAGGCGGGTGGATCACGAGGTCAAGAGATCTAGACCATCCTGGTCAACATGGTGGAACCCCGTCTCTACTAAAAATACAAAAAATCAGCTGGGCATGGTGGCACGTGCCTGTAATCCCAGCTACTCAGGAGGCTGAGGCAGGAGAATTGCCTGAACCCAGGAGGCGGAGGTTGCGGTGAGCCGAGATCGCGCCATTGCACTCCAGCCTGGGTAACAAGAGCAAAACTCCGTCTCAAGCCAAAAAAGTAACAAAAATTATTTTATTTCCAAAATGACAGATTTTTATTAAAAAAAAAAAAAAAAAAATTATAGAGATAGGATCTTGCTATGTTGCCCAGGCTGGTCTTGAACTTCTCAGCTCAAGCAATCCTCTTACCTTGGTCTCCCAAAGTGCTGGGGTTATAGGCCTGAGCCACCCAGCCTATCATTACATTTTCACAATTTGGTAACAGACTGTCCTATACTTCTAACTCACAAGGAATTGATCACATTGTTTCAAACCAACCCAGAAAGCTAGTTTATGGTAAAACAGAACAGAGATATCTGATCAAACACATCCTGCTACTGGGAACAGAATTCCTGCTGCCAAAAAGCAGCCCAGCCTCAGGGTGCTGGGTGTTGTGCTGGCTTTAGACTAAACTGAGTTTGAGGGAGGTAGAACACACATCCTCTGCACCTGGCTTTTTTTTTTTTTTTACTGGTTTGTCAAAAGCACCTGGCTTTCAACACAAGACGACCTGAATCATCAGGCTGATTATGAAAACCTTGTAAGGGGAGGAGGCTATAAGAAACCTCACCAATGAACATACCATCAAGGCGAGCTTAGTGGAAAAGCACCAGCACCATTCTGTACACCGATGACTACCAATATCAACTCCGAGCCATTTCACTCAAGTGAAACCCTGAGTGAGAGCAAGTCAGAGCCAATGAGACAAAGAATCACTAGGCTTCTCCACCCAGAGAGCTATGATGGGGTAAGGATAATCTTCCGTGCCCAGGTTGGATCAGAGCACATTCCCCACAGCATGAGAGGGCACAGCAAGGATGGAGAGCGGGGTGACCGGAACCTCCAGCTCTAAACCTTCGCCCATGCTCACGCTGTGTCTGCGACAGGGCACATGTGGATGACATCTTTAAGGTTACGCTAAAGGATGGCATTAAAGCCAGGTACAGCGGCTCATGCCATCTCGGCACTCTCGGAGGCTGAACAGGCAGAATCATTTGAGGCCAGAAGTTTGAGGCTTGCCGGGCAAACACAGTAAGACATTCCTGTCTTTAAAAAAAAAAGTGGGGGGGATGGAGGCAGCAAACCACCTTGCCATGTATGTACCTATGCAACAATACTGCATAATCTGAACATGTACCCCAGAACCTGAAGTACAAAAAAAAAAAATTCTCTTTCCAGCCAGCACCAAGCGATGGTCATCTCGGGACAACTGGTACAAGCGCCGCAAGACCGGGGGCAAGAGAAAGCCCCACCACAAGAAGCGGAAGTATGAGTTGGGGCCCCCGCCGCATCCACACAATCCGTGTGCGGGGTGGTAACAAGAAACACCGTGCCCTGAGGCTGGACGCGGGGGGTTTCTCCTGGGGCTCAGAGTGCTGTACTCGCAAAACAAGGATCATCGATGTTGTCTGTAATGCGTCTAGTAACGAGCTGGTCGGTACCAAGACCCTGGTGAAGAATTGCATCGTGCTCATCGACAGCCCGCCGTACCGACAGTGGTACGAGTCCCACTATGCGCTGCCCCCGGGCCACAAGAAGGGAGCCAAGCTGACTCCTGAGGAAGAAGAGATTTTAAACAAAAACGATCAAAAAATTCAGAAGAAATATGACAAAAGGAAAAAGAATGCCAAAATCAGCAGTCTCCTGAAGGAGCAGTTCCGTCAGGGCAAGCTTCTTGCGTGCATCCCTTAGTGTGGCCCAGCAGATGGCTATGTGCTAGCGGGCAAAGAGCTGGAGTTCTATCTTAGGAAAATCAAGGCCCGGAAAGGCAAATAAATCCTTGTTTTCTGTCTTCATCCATGTAATAAAGGTGTTTATTGTTTGTTCTGTTCACAAAAAAAAAAATTAGCCAGGCATGGTGGCGTGCGCCTATAGTCGCAGCTACTCAGGAGACTGAGGACAGAGAAACACTTGAGTCCAGGAGTTCCAGATTACAGTGACAATAAGCTATCAGCTACCATCACATCACTACACTCCAGACTGGGTGACAGAGGGATACCCTGTCTCTTAAAAAACAAAACAAAACAAAATCAGAGGATTTTGTCTAGGTTGGAGTGTAGCAGTGTGATCACAGTTCACTGCAGCCTTGACCTCCAAGGTCCAAACAATCCACCTCAGCCTCCTGAATGGCGGGAACCAAAGGCACACACCTCCACGGTCGGCTAATTATATTTTTGGTAGAGACAGGGTCTCCCCTTACATTGCCAGGCTGGTCTCAAACTCCTGAGCTCAATCAATTCTCCTGCCTTGGCTTCCTAAATGCTGGACTTACAGGCAGGAACCACCAGGCCCAGCCTCAAGGATGGCATTTTTTTTTTTTTTTTTGAGACGGAGTTTCACTCATGCTACCCAGGCTGGAATGCAATGGCGCGATCTCGGCTCACCGCAACCTCCGCCTCCTGGGTTCAGGCAATTCTCCTGCCTCAGCCTCCTGAGTAGCTGGGATTACAGGCACGCACCACCACGCCCAGCTAATGTTTTGTATTTTTAGTAGAGACGGGGTTTCACCATGTTGACCAGGATGGTCTTCATCTCTTAACCTCGTGATCCACCCGCCTCGGCCTCCCAAAGTGCTGGGATTACAGGCTTGAGCCACCGTGCCCGGCCTGGATGGCATCTTTTTAAAAAAATTAAGGATTGGTCAGGTGCGGTGACTCATGTGTAATCCCAGCACTTTGGGAGGCAGAGACAGGTGGACATCTCTGGGACAACTGTGAGTGAAGCCTCCTGTAATTAGGGCACAGAACTCATACTCTCCATATCATTACGAGGTATACTTCCAAACACATTCTGAGCTGTTACTTAAATAATTACTTATCAAAGTTTGTAATACAAGTTGTGTTGTTTTGGTCAATTCTATGCTACAATGATAAAATGTAATGATAATGATAAAACAAGCTTTCTAACCAAGTTAATGCCTCTTAAGACAAGGGAAAAACATTTCACTACATTCACATTTCTAATGCGGAAATACACATTAAGGAAATAAAAGACTTGCAGATGTAAAAAAAAAAAAACAAACAAACAAACAAAAAAACAACACTACGTTAGGGCCAAGCACTGTGGGTCACACCTGTAATCCTAGCACTTTGGGAGGCTGAGGCAGGTGGATTACTGAACTCAGGAGTTCGACAGCAGCCTGGGCAACATGGCAAAACCCCATCTCTACTAAAAATACGAAAATTAGCCGGGTGTACTGGTAAACACTTACAGTTCCAGCTACCTGGGGGGCTGAGGCAGGAGAATCGCTTGAACCTGAGAGGTGGAGGCTGCAGTGAGCTGAGATCATGCCACTGGACTCTGGCCTGGGTGACAGAGCAAGACCCTACCTCAAAAAACGAAACAAAAAACAAAACAAAACAAAAACCTACAGTAGGACAAAATTCTGGGCTATAAAATGAAAATTTAAAGGAGAAATGGCAAAGTAACATTTCCACCTGCTAGGAAGCAATTTTTTTTTTCTTTGAGACAAAGTCTCACTCTGTGGCCCAGGCTACAGTGCAGTGGTTCAATCTTGGCTCCCTGCAACCTCTGTCTCCCAGGTTCAAGTGATTCTCCTGCCTCAGTCTCCCGAGTAGCTGGGAATACAGGCATGCATCACCATGCCTGGCTAATTTGTGTTTTCAGTAGAGCCAGGGTTTCGCCATGTTGGCCAGGCTGGTCTCAAACTCCTGACCTCAAGTGATTTGCCCTCCTCAGCCTCCCAAAGTGCTGGGATTACAGGCATGAGCCACCGCGCCCAGCCAAAAGCAAATTTTTAATGGGGTGGTAAATGCATACTAAATTGTAATTTACAATACCATTGGATACATATTTTACATCTTTCATACCTATAAACTTATAAAGAAAAATTCCAATTCAAAAAAAAATGTGACAGAGTACACTGCTTTTCAAAATTCTCTCGGGAACAAAGCAAAATGTTTCAAGACCAGAGGCTGAGAATAGCCTCACTGCTGTGCCAGCTCCTATTCCAGTCCAGATTGGCACAATCACCTAGGGGACCTTCCTCAGGTGGAGCGCCCTGGCACATGCTGCCTGACTCAGCAGCCCCTTCTGGGGCACACAAGGCCCTCGGCCTTGGTCACTGCAGCATTCTGCAGTCAGGGTCAACATGTCTGTCCCTCCACTACATTTCAGTTATATGGGGGGACGGGGAGGGAGGGGTGGTGGGGAGGCTGGCTAATTTCCCACCATCCTATCCTGAAGTCCGAGTATACAGTAAGGGAGGCTCCGTCAGTGTGAAGGAAGACAATTCGAAGTCATAGAAACACATCCAACCTTCCTTCCTAGCATTCTGTACTTAAAGTTTTTAAATGTCTTAGAGCCTTGAGAAAGGAACAGAGGCTGTTGCTGGGCCAGGTGGTACAATGCTCTCAGAAAAACCCCATCCTCACCTTACGCTTCTGAGGTGGCTCACAGGCAAGGAGCCACGATGTGTGATATTGTCTTGACCGACCACACGGACTCTTTCTCATCTCCAAACAAGTTATTTCAGAGGTACACAAGGAACTGTATGTACCCTGGGAATAGGCTCTGACATTCCTTTTTTTTTTTTGAGATGGAGTTTCATGCTTGCTGCCCAGGCTCACTCTTGGCTCACCACAACCTCTGCCTCCTGGGTTCAAGCAATTCTCCTGCCTCAGCCTCCCCAGTGGAAGAGATTACAGGCATGCACCACCACACCTGGCTAATTTTGTATTTTTAGTTGAGATGGGGTTTCAACATGTTGGTCAGGCTAGTCTCAACCTCCTGACCTAAGGTGATGTGCCCACCTCCACCTCCCACAGTGCTGGGATTACAGGCATGAGCCATCACGACAGCGGTGCTGCCATTTCCTTTTGTTAACAACAGGGTCCATACTAAATCTCCAAGGCCCCTTTGGTCTCTGAGCATGTCTCTTGTGTGAATCCAAGTGATGAAACCTGAGTATTTCACTACAACACTCAAGCTCTTAGAGATCAGAACGTAAGGTTTTTAAAAATTAAAGGAATGTAAAGACACCCCAAGACAACTCAGCTTTCTCCAGAAACAGATGAACATACTCTTAACTGATCAAGCTTCTCTCGGATCTGAATGAACCCCAAGTGTAACTTGCCACCGAAGTGGTCTGCCAGGCGACGGTCATTGTCATGGAGACCAAGGTAGGCTGAACAGACCTCACAGACACGCAGCTTTTGCTGCTGAAAACTGGACGCAGGCATAGAATTTCTGTATTCTTCCTGGAGAAGGAAAATAGAAAGATAAAAGGCAAACAGAGCAGTCACCATGAATCCAATCTCCAAAATGTAAACATTTGATGACAGAAGTAACTTTTAAACAAATTTTTAAAAAACACAAACAAAACTTCAAATATTTATGACCAATTCAATTTTCACTTTATTTAAGAAATGCACTAACAGGCTGGGCTCGGAGGCTCACGCCTGTAATCCCAGCACTCTGGGAGGCCAAGGCAGATGGATCACTTGAGGCCAGGAGTTCAAGACGAACTGGGCCAACATGGCAAAACCCTGTCACTACTAAAAATGTAAAAATTGGCCGGGCACGGTGGCTCAAGCCTGTAATCCCAGCACTTTGGGAGGCCGAGGCGGGTGGATCACGAGGTCAAGAGATCGAGACCATCCTGGTCAACATGGTGAAACCCCGTCTCTACTGAAAATACAAAAAATTAGCTGGGCATGGTGGTGCGTGCCTGTAATCCCAGCTATTCAGGAGGCTGAGGCAGGAGAATTGCCTGAACCCAGGAGGCGGAGGTTGCGGTGAGCCAAGATCGCGCCATTGCACTCCAGCCTGGGTAACATGAGTGAAACTCCGTCTCAAAAAAAAAAAAAAAAAAAAATGTAAAAATTAGCCGGGCGTGGTGGCAGGCACCTGTAATACCAGCTACTGGAAAGGCTGAGGCAAGAGAATTGCTTAAGCCGAGGAGATAGAGGTTGCAGTGAGCTGAGATTACGCCACTACACTCCAACTAGGATGACAGAGAACGCTGTCACACACACACAAAAAAAAAATGGCCAGGCTGCAGTGGCTCATGCCTGTAATCCCAGCATTTTGGGAGGCTGAGGTGGGTGGATCACGAGGTCAGGAGTTCAAGACCAGCCTGGCCAACACGGTGAAACCCCATCTCTACTAGAAATACAAAAATTAGGCCGGGCACAGTGGTTCACGCCTGTGGCTGAGGCAGGTGGATCACAAGAGGTCAGGAGTTCAAGACCAGCCTGGCCAACATGGTGAAACCCCGTCTCTACTAAAAATGCAAAAATTAGCCAGGCATGGTGTCGTGAGCCTGTAATCCCAGCTACTCAAGAGGCTGAGGCAGGACAATCACTTGAATCCAGGAGGCGCAGTTTGCAGTGAGCAGAGACCACACCATGGCATTCCAGCTTAGGTGACAAAGCAAAACTCTGTCAAAAAAAATAAATAAATAAAACTAGCTGGGCATGGTGGTGCGGGCCTGTAGTCCCAGCTACTGAGGAGGCTGAGGCAGAGGAATTGCTTGAACCCGGGAAGTAGAGGCTGCAGTCAGCCAAGATCACGCCACTGGACTCCTGCCTGGGTGACAGAGCAAGACTGAGTCTCAAAAAAAAAAAAAAAAAAAAAAAATGCATTCCACACTGGGTGCAGTGACTCATGCCTATAATCTCAGCACTTTGGGAGACTGAGGAGAATCACTTGACCCCAGGAGTTTAAGACCTGCATGGGCAACACAGCAAGATCCAGTCTCTAAAAAATTAATTAGCCCAATGTGGTGGCAAATGCCTGTAGTCCCATCTACTCAAGAGGCTGATTTGGAAGAATTGCCTGAGACCAGAAGGTCAAGGGGGCAGTGAGCTGTGACTGCACCACTGCACTTCACCCTAGGCAACCCTGGGTGACAGCAAGACGCTGTCTCAAATATTAAAAAATAAAAGGTGGGGAATGGATGAGAAAAAAACAAGAACTTGAATATCCATTACAGTATACTACATCATTAACTAAAAAAAAAAAAAGAAAAAAAAAAAAAACTTAAGCAAAAACAATATTCTGTCCCCTTCTATAGTTCTGAAACCTTAAATGCCACCCTAGTCACATCTTTCAAAATAAATGCTAATTATGTTGAGTAAAAAAAGTCAATCTCGAACAGGCGCAGTGGTTTACACCTGTAATCCCAGAACTTTGGGAGGCTGAGGCAAGTGGATCAGGAGGTCAAGAGATGGAGACTACCCTTGCCAACAAGGTGAAACTCTGTCTCTACTAAAAATACAAAAATTAGCTGGGCGTGGTGGTGCGTACCTGTAGTCTCAGCTATTGGGAAGGCTGAGGCAGGAGAATCGCTTGATCCCGGGAGGCAGAGGTTACAGTGAGCTGAGATCGCGCCACTGCACTCCAGCCTGGCCAGAGAGCGAGACTCCGTCTTAAAAAAAAAAAAAACCACTCCTTGAAGACAACACAGAAGATCTAGATGAGCTTGTGTAGTAATGCTTTTTTCTTTTTTTTTTTTTTTTTTTT